ACCGTACAGTGAACAGTTAGCAGAGAAGGGGTTAAAACAATTAAAAACTGCTGCAGCTGACACAAAGGTTTAAAAAATAAATGTTTTGACTCAAAGTGAGGAGAAGGGAACGGTAGACAAGACAATGTCTTGGCCAATGTTCCAAATCATTGGCTGAGACATTGTAACAGTGATCACTCTGTCACAGTGATCACGTCTTGGATCACCGTCATTGGCTGCAGGTGAACTGCCTGGGTTGGCAGGCATACCACAAGATGGCGATTGGCAGAATGGCAAGCGAGGCAGATCGCATTGTGGATTCATTGTGGATTCAATGTGAATTTCAAAATATAGGCCAAAATAGCCCAACTAGAAAAGTTCTCTAAATTAGTTCAGTTTGGTCACTTTGAGCTTTTCACTAAAGTGAGAATTCTCAGGAATTCAAGTTATATTTATAATTTAAAACCAAAGTGGAAAGACTGAGAGATGAGCAGGTCCTTCTTCACGTCTCAATATCTTCTTTTTCTAATTGTAAAGTGCTGTAGAATATGTTGACGCTATGTAAGAGCTAATAATAATAATTGTAGCATACCTCCCAACTATTCCTATTTAGGAGGGCCAGTCCCTATACTGGTGCAAAATCAATGTCATTAATGTTTAGAAATCAGTCTGTGTAAATAAGATATATTGTTCTTGCGCTGAGTTACATTTTATTTGCATAAATTATTGTTCTCAGATAAGCCATACCTCTGAGCACACCTCGCTCACAGCCCTAGAATTAAAGTGTCCATCTTTGTCCATTTAAAATGATTGGGAGGTATGATGGAATTATTTACTAAGCACAGGATTACATGACGTTTAGGCAGGGCCAGATTAAGAGCCCAGTGGATCTGGTGCTGACAATTATGATGGGGCCTAATAACAGAATCTTATGGACCAAAACCACTAAAGCAGTTATATGTCTCAAGTGTTGTGTATCTGATGGAGATGGTATTGGAGGGAAACTCAAAGGATGCAGCTATAAGAAAACACATACCCTATGCTACGCTCTTTGTAATATCAGAACAGAGAGTAAGCGCTAGCTAATATAAGGGCAGCAACCCTATAAGGGAATCCCTCAGGAACCCTTAAAAATAACACAAAGAGAGAGAAAGAATAAAAGATAAGGGCTGCGCCAATGCAAAATAAAATAACAAATAGTCCAAATAAATGAATGTAGTAAAACAAGAACGTCTTATCTAGAATATGCTCTTTGAGGTCATGGAATCTATCCGTGCTTGATCCGGAACAATTGTCCTTTTTATGTTCATCCGTGAGGGTCCGCTCATATATAGAAGAAAAAAGAGTGGAGAACCAATAGTGTAAAATGCTTAAATCAATAAAAATGAGTAAAAAGGGAAGAATAAAACTCACATTTGAAAGAGCTAAACTTGCTCTAGTATAGAAGGCGTACAGCAGTTTGATCCCCGCTTGTGGGATATAGGGTGGACTTCCTCCGTCAGTGGTGTATCCAACACTCGGGTAGAAAGAAACAGCCAATAGTGTACACTGAGTAAAATATTAGTAATAAAATAGAATGGGTACTCACAAGACAGGAGCAGAACAACTGCTCCTTGACGTAGCGCTGGTGGTATGATTCCCACCTAGGATTTCTTGGAATCCGGGATGTTGAAAGGATGCCAGGTAGTAAATAAATTAGAGTGTATAAAAGGATAAGTGGCACAAATAAAAAGTAACCAAATATACTTTAATATATATAAAAGTCCATAAACGCGTTTCGCCAACAATGGCGTTATCAATATGGGGTAAGAACCTGAAACCTGGCATGACATTGTTTATATAACAACTGTAATTCTATAAAAATGGCGCCAAAAGTGAGCAGCCAATCAACAGAGAGTTAAAACATAAAATAATAAAACAGTATAAAAATAAAGAAATCAATACTTTTTTGCAATGATATATTCATTATAAATGTTATGGCATTAATAAATATAAAAAACGAAAAGTGTAGCTAGGTATTTATAACTTTATGTGCACGGTCATGTGACCGGCACCATGCCGCTAAGGAATATGGGAGTGGTAGTATAGACGCCGGCGCGCACTGCGCAGCCGCTGGCGTCTATGAAGAGAATGGGAGGGAGACGTCAGCTCGCACACTGATTGCGGCTGACGTCAGTGGGAGGGGTGGGGTGACGGCGGCACGCACAGAAATGCGGCTGTCGTCTAGGCAACAATAGAAGCCTGTCGGCACGTTAAAGAGTGCGGCCGACCAGGCAGTATGAAAAAATAAGAAGAGGGAAAATAAAACAAGGGGCATTAATAGAGCAACAGCAGTAAAACATAAAACATTAAAAAGATATATGGTGTAAAATAAACATGGGAAGGTGTACTGGCTGCATATATTAAAACAACAGACACAGAAAAAATATGTCAAAATAAAAATTATAAAAATTGTAAAAAATTATAAAAAATTAAACAGATCAAAGTCTACATTGAGACCATGGGGTGTAAAGTGAATCCATACCCCTTAACAGCAGTGTCCAGTGAAGCAGGAAGTCAATGGGCAGGGTAAAAGGGTGGGCAACTGACGCGAATCACATGACCAGAACTGCAAAAAGGGGCCATGTCTGTCCAAAGAATTGGAAGGCCAGCCTGACATCAGTGTCCCTATGTATCACAGTGTCAATGTCCCTATGTCGCCCAGTCCCTCAGTGTCCCCATTTCTCCCATTGTCCCCATGTCTCAGTGTGTCCTGTGTCACAGTGAGACCAGGGGACACAGAGACATGGGGGCACTGAGACACTTGTGGATACAGATATGGGGACACTGGGAGACATGGGGACACAGACATATTGGGACACTGGGAGAAATGGGGACACAGAAACATGGGGACACAGACGCTGGGAGATATTGTCATGATCTTGTGCAGGTCACATAGGAGACTTATGCCAGGGTTGACTTCAGGTACTTTACTAGTGTTTTTAGACATATTATGAAACTTGAATGAAAACAGACTTTAGGCAATATGCCACCAGACAGTATACTTGCCAAAGAACAGGTTACTTGCAAATAATAATGAATGTCTGTAATTTCCAGGTAACAAAGGCAGGCTGGTAACAGTGGAAGGCTGGTTACAGATGCAGGCTGGTTTGAAGTATAGGTAAGGGTGGAGCAGGTTATTGTTAGGAGCAGGTTTGAAGGTAAGTCTGAAGCAGGTTCACAGGAGCCAGGATATGAAGTTTTTGCAAAACTGTTTCTTTCTTACTGCAATCAAGCTCCTGCATATCACCTGAGAAAAAGACTGATGTATAAAACCCGCACCTGTGAGTAAATAGCTTCCAGGAAAAGCAGGAAATACAAAAGAGACTTCAGTTCCTGGCTCCAGATTTACCTTCAAACCTGCTCCTAACAATAACCTGCTCCATCCTTACCTATACTTCAAACCAGCCTGCCTCTGTAACCAGTCTTCCATTATAACCAGCCTGCCTTTGTTACAACCCTACCTGGAAATTAGACAATCTTTATTATTTGCAAGTATCCTGTTCTGTGGCATATTACCTAAATTCTGTTTTGCCTCAAGTTTCATAATATGTCTAAAATCACTAATAAAGTACCTGAAATCAACCCTGGCATAAGTCCCCTATCTGATCTGCACAAGATCATGACAGATATATGGACACTGAAACATTTGGGGACACTAAGACACTAGGGACACTGAGAGACATGGGAACACAGACACTAGGAGACTAGGGGATACTGAGACACTAGGGACACTGGCTGGGAGGCATGGGGACACAGACATTTTGGGACACTGGGAGGCATGGGGACACAGACATTTTGGGACACTGGGAGACATGGGGACACAGACACTAGGGACACTGGCTGGGAGACATGTAGACACAGGGAGACATGGGGACACAGACATTTAGGGACCCTGGGAGACATGGGGACACTGAGACACTAGGGACACAGACACTGGGAGACCAGGGGACTCTGGGAGACACAGAGACACTAGGGACACTGGCTGGGAGACATAGGGACACTGTGTCCATAGTGTCTCTGCGTCCCAATGTGTATCCCAAATTCCTTATGTCTCACAGCATCCCCATGTGTCTCAGCGTCTCCATGTCTCACAGTGTCTCCAGGTGTCTCAGTGTCCCCATGTGTCCCTTAGTGTCTCAATGTCCCCATGTCTCCCTGCTGCCTTTCCCCTCATCCCTCACTTCCCTGAGCTGTAGGCTGTCTCTGCAGGCTGGGAGCTGCTGTCTAGACTCTCTGTGCTCTGTAGCTGCTCCCCCGTGGGTTAGTGAATAGAGAGAGGCAGACAGGGATATGCTGTAACTTCCTATCCCTGCCTCTCTCCACACACAGTGACCCCTACTGGCTGGTGCTGGTATTACAGAGTAATCTCCTATTATACTGAGAAAAATATCTGCATTTGTATTGCCGGTATTACTGCAATACTGGCACGGCCAGGCAGCCTTAAATACCGTCTGTGTTGGTAAAATACCAGTCAGATGGCAGACCTAAGAGTAGTGTTTAAAACAAAAAAAGTAATTTTTTTTAAATGGGCCTATTCCATGGGCCTGGGCCTGGAGCTGCAGCTCCATCAGCCCCTATGTTAATCCGGCCCTGCGTTTAGGCATAACATGCTGGTATTGAAAATGTCACGTCATTAGTTTGGCTATTTTACCCTACATTTTGCAATTCGTTTTTCTATTTACCTAAATGTTTAGATTTGCAGTTTAGTGAATAAACCAGTTGTAGATTTGCCGTTTAGCGAATAAACCATTTGTATCTGTATGAATTATCATAAACACATTACTGATTTATTCATGTGTAATAAAGACCATTTTTATTTTATTTTGTTACTGGTAAATCCAATATATTAATTTCCGCCATTTCATTTTAGATCCTAAACCTAAACCACTGTGGTTTAAAAGGTATGTTTTGTCTACTAATAAAATCATACATTCTAATTTAAAATGTATGGCATTAAAAAAAACAACCATGGACAGAAGTAGTAAATTAAAGTACGTTTATTTCTCAGTGCATTACAAAAAAAGGCCTTGGATAAGTGTGGCTTGTAGGTAGGTGTACCCACCCAATTCTTTAAAAACTCAAACAATGAGAACAGTGCATATATAATAGGTAATCAAGCAATGGCAATAATACAATACATTGACTGCAACCCCCACACAGTAAAATGCAAAGATTAAATTCAATTTGTACAACAAAACATATAATTTCCTTTTTGTAATTATATTTTACGTTAAATTCTAGACTGTCTAAAGCATGGATGACAACTGCCTTGTTAACCCCTTAAGGACACACCTTCTGGAATAAAAGGGAATCATGACGGAATATTTCCGTCATGTGTCCTTAAGTGGTTAGACCTTTCAAACCTACTCACAATAACAGGAGTTAAGCCTGACAAACTCTTTGATTTCCTAATAATTCGCTATAAAATTTATAATTTTCCAAAGCTCCAAGAAAAATTGTGGAGTCTGCGCCGATAGGTCAGTTGTTGATCCGCTGATCAAACTGACTCCCAACTTAACGAATGAGACTTGCATGTAGATATTACATAATGAGCATAAGCCAGCATTACATGACAAAGATATGAGAGTTTATTGTAAATGAAAAATGCTTTAAGACTAAATAATCATACATCAAACACATTAATATAAATAACTGAGATACTAACAACTACATTTGCTCCCTGGACAATTTTAGCACCTTTTATTTAGAATTTATTTTTTGTTGTTGTAGAATATGCAATAAAAAGCTATGATGTAAACTTACACAAAATGAGCATATCGCTGATATTAAACATCACCAGTATACAGTAGTTGCTTGATTTTCTAATGTCAGTGGTGAAATCATTAAAGGACACTTTACCTGACCTGATCACCATAAATTATATGTAAAAGTTCCAATTAAATATTTTTCGTAATGTTTTCGTAAATATCGAGGCACCCTTCTTCTCAGCATTATTTGTGTTATAGGTTGCTATTTGGGTTAAATTCTAAATATAATCCAGATATGTAAGGGGTAGATTTAAGATTTATTTATGGAGTTATTTTCTAAACCGTGAATAGTGGTGAACTAATACAATTCTATGGTATAGGGGCCGTACGTACACAGAAACCATGGCATTCTTGATTGGGTACCATAGAAATGTAACAATTTTCATCCTCATTATCATCACTGTTTGTCTTGAATGTTTATATAATCTAGTAAATTATCTTTTCTTTTAGATATAAAGCATTTAAAATCTTGTTTTTCTTTTCATCCAGTGGTTCCCAAACCAGTACTCACGGCCCAGCAACAGTCCAGATGTTGTCAGTATCTTCATTGGAATTAAAATCGATGTCTATAATAGCTATAAGATATGACCAAGGACTAATGAAAGTATTTAGAAAATTTGGCAGACTAGATGGGCCGAATCGTTCTTGTCTGACGTCACATTCTATGTTTGAGAAGAACTGTTCTAATCTGAGATAATACAAACTACAACTATATCCTATGAAATGGATAGAGACTGGATGAGAATATTTAATATTATATCATATTTCATATTTGACATGCTATTTAATGATTAATCCAAATGACAATATTATAGAGTACATTAGGTAATACATTGCAAAGTTTTCTAAGGATTATTTATTACAAAGCTATAAAATCATGAATAACTAAATTACGAAATAAGTTATGAATATAGTGTATTATTGTCTTTATTGGTTACTGAAGGATTATTCTCCTTATCTTATATACTAATAAACTATCTTTTTAGGATGATTTTATTTATAGAGAGTCCTAAACAGGCATAGCCTGTTTAGAAAATCAAATAAAAAACTTAATTCGACAAGTTTGTCTAGTTGTGTAGTGCACAGATATATTTTATTCATCAAATATCTAAAATATGAACTTCAAATGTAATTGATTTCCTACTCAAGACATTCAGAAAATCAAGCAATCTATTTTTTTTTTTTCGGAATACAAAGAATGACATGACAAAATTGCTAAAGTGAACAGAGTGAACCTCAAGATATTGCACAGAATTTATACTTAAAAGATTAACACAATATATTTTGATTTCTAACAATGAAAATACCATTACAACAGAATTGTCCCTAGATACAGACTCATTTAGCTCTGTTCACGGGTACATGCCATTAATCTTAGTAACCTGCCTAAGACAGACTAATGGGTTGCATATGTGAATATTCTATTTTCTAGTTTGTTCACCATTAGATCTAATGACTCCTAATATAATATTCATGCATAGGATGGAAGGTGTGTCTCTCCATGCATTTAACGGCTGGGTCTCCATGAGGATTTAACTCATTTTTATGAAAAGGTAACCATCTTGTTATTATTGTACAAGTATCAAAATTAAACATTTGTCTTACATGCAATTTGACAAACCACTCTGGTGTCCTAAACATTGTAAGATTATCGACCCTATCACCTGCTGTCAGAAATAGTCGACAGCCTGATTAAAGTTAGAGTATCATAAAAATGAAATTGTTTCAGGAGGCCATATATAAATTAGTAGTAGTGTTTGGAATTTAAGGCACAATGGGCTTACTGTTATACAATGTATGAGATTTATATGTTGTCACATACATTAAATGGACTGACTAAGGGGCCACTTGCAGCTCTATGCGAAGATTATAAGTGCATGAGGAGATGGTATCTAAAATATACTTAGAATGGACCGTTCTGAAAATATCACTAGGTTTCCTGGAAGAGAATATATATTATGTTTACAATTGGTTTCTGTTAAACTGATAGCTCTATGCTGATAAATAAAGCCAAGAAATGGATCTAGCTGTTCACCTCATGGGCCACGCAACTCATTATTATCATTTTGCCTGTTATGAGAACGTAGCCTTGTGACGGGCATTGAAGACATCATTTTTGTATCTTTTATAAGTTTTGAAACCATTTGTTGATCCATTGGGAGAATTGATTAATAAGGAAATGTCATATTTAGAAAAAGTTGAAGTGGAGAAAGCCTTCACTGTAGCAAAATTTCACCTCAAAATATTTTGGTCTAAATATGAACTTCTCAATACCTACCATTTTTGGTTTAGTAAAAACATTTAATATTTAATTTTATTATTTATTAAATATAGAAAATTAACATTTTTATAATTTGGTTCCTTTCCTTAAAAATTACCTTTGTTCACATTAAGAAAAAATGTAGTTAGATTGCCGTTGATTGTAATTATTACAAATGTTATTCTGAATAAGCATTTTAGATGTGAATAGGTTCAGCAGCAAAGACATTATTTTAAAGGGGAATGGTCACTTCTCTGGAAATTACACCATTTAAAAAATAAAATAAAAAAAGGAGATTAATGATAAAAATTGTTGTGTTCTGAAAAGTGTTTTAAAGTACTAAAAGTGGGGCAATCACCATGGAAATGCATGGAACCAGCAGGCACATTGGATAGAGTGATTGTCTTTATCAAGTTGACACCACTTTTCAGAACAAACAACTTTTATACATAACCCCCATTCTTTAAAATCTAAATTCTCTATATGCTTTCTCAATGGTGACTACCAGGTGCAAAGAACAGAGCTTATTACAATGATTGACTTGGAACAAAGATGGAGGCACCCAGTTGCAGGCTAAAACGGTGTTGATTTCCACATTTCATTTTATGTCTCATCTATAAAATACGGATTTGTTAAATATAGGGTAATATTTAAAGTATTTAATAAGTAATATTAAAAATGCTGATAAGTGACTGTTTCCCTTTAACTGACAGTATTTGTAAAATTATGTTAATACATTTTAACCTTAAGTGGTGGAAAACATTTTCTAGCTTTATTTTGTGCATTACACCCAAATTAGGACACAAAGAGTAGTAAATCTAATCTACGATAAGAATGAAATTATACCTGCATTATATTTTAATGACACATTGCACCTTTATATTTCTATTATTTTGTTATTTATTTATTTTTTAAATAATCAGTCAAACTTTGAATTAAACTTCGACTTCCTTCCTCTAACAAACCCCACTCTCCATATATATATATATTGACATAAGGTAAAAAAACGATATGCAGTGATTTAGAAAACAAAAAGAACAAAACGTTGAGTAATGGCAAGTATATAAAATATACTTAAAAAAATAAAAAAAGGTGTCACACAGAAAAATAGACAAGCTGTAGTAGGATTTATTTTAGGATAGGTAGCTTGTCTGGCCTTATTGTTGACCTTATTGTTTTACTACAGGTGAGCGTGCCTTACATTGACATTCGTGTTGGCAATGGCTTTACTCCAACTTCGTTTATGATGGTTTTTAGTCTTTATTTTACACAGGTTACTTTGTATCTAACACTTTGTATACAGATCCTTAAAACCTCTTTAAATTGGTGAATTTGTCTATACTGAGTGGAAATTGCTCATGAAGTAAATACAGACGTGTCCTCAACAGCTGCCCAATGTATTTAGTTTGGTAAGAAACTATAATGGAAACGAGTAGGTACAAATGTGATCATCTTAAAGGTGGCTTTCTAACTGTGCTTCTGTCTGTGTTTTTATATATTTGCATATATTTTATTTCTGGATTCCATTTAGAAGGGCCTACAATCTCTCTAATGACTCTGCTTGTGGGAATTATGGCAAAAATGTGGCATCTGGGAAACAATCCTGAATATTGGAACTATTGAAAAGAACACTTCTCTGTTCCTTATACACCAAGTAAATCTTTGGAAGATTGTTTGAGTCTAAACACAATAAAATATTTTTTGTGCTACACTCCGTGGCCATGAAATATTGACCTCACATTTTCTTCTTTATGTATATACATCCAAAGCTTATACTGAAGATGGATATTTGTGTAGGTTGATCTTTAAAAATGTATTTGGTCACCAAAGTTTACAGTTATCAGTAGGTCTTCCAAATGTATATGTATCGGTTAGCACCAGTATAGGCAAACTTTAGGATTGCAGTTATCATATTTGGTTTATCATATTTGTAAAGGTTCTGCAATTTAATAGAATGTGTGACATTTATTTGCCCAGTGGAATGGGGTTCAAGAGAGATGAGGTAAAATGATACTATTTAAAAAAAAAAAAATGCCAATACTTTATAAATGGTTTATACAGGGTCATGCATCCTTGTCATATATTTCAGAATTCAGCTGCCATTTTCCAGTGAGATATTACGTGGATTTTTCAAGACCCGTGGTATTTCTATATTCTTACTTTACAACACAATTTGGATGCTGTTTCCATTTAACTTAAGCATTTCCCAAGTGTAGGCTGATTATGAGACACATTTAGAATGGCATCCAAGTCACAGTCATAGATGTGTACAAGACATGTGCCATATGTGCCTGGGAACACTTAATGCAAAGACATTTTGTGATCCCACAGATCTATTACTGCACTTTGCATCAATTTGGGCTGCTTATGATTTTTTGAAGTTAAAATGCATAAACATTGACTGTATTTTTATACATGTGGTATTTTGTTAAGGACATTTTAGCTGGTAATTCAGAAGAAGAAATTTTATTTTAGTTTTTCTTTTTTAAAATGAATAAAATGAAATGCTCTTTTTTCATTGAGTAATACAAGGTGTCCACGATGTAGAAGATGTCTTAGGAACACCATAGAACGTCATTCTGCAAAATAAACAGATGCACTATCCTAAAATCTGTGACAGGGTTGTAATAAGAAGACAGGTATATTTCAGAACAACTTTGTATCTGAAACGGCACAATAAATGAAATAAATGCAAATCTATACCAAAATGTAAACAGCAATTAAGTGATTTTTAAAAAATGTAGTTAAAGGTAATTTCATAAAAATGTCTCCTTTTAAAGAACAAAAATCTTGCAAATGTTTGTAAGGCACTTTCTGACAATACTGGAATAATACTTTGGCTTTAATCAGTGGGCAGTCATGTACTGATTTCAGAAAAGATGGGTGCTACATTTTCTCATTTTTGATCAGATTCCCTGTCATACAGCAGTGATGAAAAAATGTCATATTCCGGGTACCGCTGCTGCTGCTGTTGCCGTTTGAGTTTAATGTTGCTAGGCATAAATGAACCTGGAATATCCTGTCCTGAACCTGGCTCAACAGAAGAAGTTGTATCTGGAAAAGACAGAAAAGTATTAAATCCTTAAAAAAATGTTTTGATTTTTGTTGTTCAAAGATACAGATAAAATAAAGTAAGTAAAACATATTTTAATTTACTACAAACTATAACAAGCAACAAAATGTATCCACTTTTTTCTTTGTATGGAAGCATATGGAACTATGGGTTGTAAGCCCCAGCGTTATGTAGATGATGTTATATAGATGATGTTATATAGAATAAGTAATGGTGAGTGCCTGGAGGTCCATAATACGGAGGTGGTTGAATATATGACAAGAACACTGGGTCACAGTCATTTACAAGTCAACAATTGTTGTTTATAAAATAATTGTTCTATTCCTCAGCTCGAACAAGTATCTGATATTAATACCCTAATTCGTCCACTGAAGATGGTACATGCCTTCAGAAATAGCACAAAACATTAATAGCGTCTATGTCTACCAAAATATTAATACACCTGCCTTCAGATTTAAACAAATTAATTAAACTCTTCTTCCCTTTGCAGGAGGAGCAAATTGCTTTAACCCCTTAAGGACACAGCTTTAGAAGCTTGTCTTACGCTTAATGACACAAGCAATTTTTGCATTTTCTTGCTGTATGCGTTCAACTGCAATTTGCATCTCTCTCGTTTATTGCACCGACAAATATTATATACTGTTTTTTAAAGGACAGAAAGGGCTTTAATTTGATGTAACATAAATTAAAAAAAAAGAAAAATGCAAAAAAAAGAAAAATGTGTTTTTTGTACAGTTTTTGCAATAATAATGTGTGCCTAATTAGTGCAGGTTAAAGAAAGTAATTAAAAATAAATTCATTTAGTTGTTCTGATTTACAGAATATATAATGTGTCTGGTATTTTAAGTTTTTTTTGGTAGTTACAGGTCACAAAGCACAAGGAGTAAAATAAACTTTTAATGTGGAGCGATTTTAGAATTTGGTATGTTTGTCTTGTAAGCTTAATAGCCATAAAAGAAAACAAAATTGCCTAACAAAAGTATATATTTATATAAAGTAGACATCACAGGCTATTGTCCTAAGGTTGTTTTGACACTTTCTACGTAGCCATTTCACCGCCAATCTCTGCTAAATATTGGAGTAAAATTTAGTTTTTGGGGGGTTTTGGCACACAAACTTATAACAAAGAACTTCTCATGTGTATTTTGTAAAGTTGGTGTGTGCTATTCCTGTACAAAGTTTTATTTTGTGTTCAGTTACTTCTGCTGAGTACAACGATACCCCCATTGTATGTCTTTGATACTATTTCATGAAGCTACAGTGCCATATAGGAGACCTGTCCGTTTCAACATTTACAGTATAATTTTGAGAGGCGGAATTAATGGGCCTATGCTTCAATTTGGGGTATTATAGCAGTTTGACTGTTCAAAAACCCCCCACAAAGGCCTACCATTTGTAAAAGTAGGCACTCCAGGGTATCTCATATGGTGCATATTGTGCCTTAACATGCCCCCATTTTTTCACCAATATACCGTATTTATCGGCGTATAACACGCACTTTTTCTCCCTGAAAATAGGGGGCAAATTATGGGTGCGTGTTATACGCCGGCCCTTTATATGCTGCAGCCACCTGAGCGCTCTGTCAAGAGCGGTCAGGCGGCTGCAGTTGGTTCTCACCTCCCCTCCCCTGTAGCGTGGCCGAGCTGCTCTGCTGTCCGCGGTGGCCGGCCGGAGTGATAGGAAGGTGCACGCTCAGTGTGCACCTTCCTGTCAGTCCAACCGGGTACAGGAAACAGAAACTCCTGTTCCGCGCGGAACAGGAGTTTCTGTTTCCTGTACCCGGTCGGACTGACAGGAAGGTGCACACTGAGCGTGCACCTTCCTATCACGCCACCGCGGACAGCAGAGCAGCTCGGCCACGCTACAGGGGAGGGGGTAAGAAGAGGGGGGGGAGTAAGAAGAGGGGGAGGGGGTAAGATAGAGGGGAGGGGAGGGGAGTAAGAAAAGGGGTAAGAAGAGGGGAGGGAGGTAGGGGAGGGGAGTAAGAAAGGGGTGTAAGAAGAGGGGGAGGGGGGAGTAAGAAGGGGGTAAGAGGGGGAAGTAAGAAGGGGGTAAGAAGTTCTTTATTTGAAATGTAAGTTTTTTTCCCCCTGAAATTTCTTTCTTAAAATGAGGTGCGTGTTATACGCCGATAAATACGGTATGTCAAAGTATGTGGTAAAAAATAATTTGGGGCATTTTTTACATACGGATTACATTTGTACTGAGCATTTTGTACATTTCATATGTGCCACTAAATTCAAACCCCTCAAATTATGCTCAGCTAAGTCTTCTGAGTAAAACAATATGCCCAGTGTATGACCTAGACACTATTTTGTGAAGTTACACTGCTGTAAAAGAGACGTGACAAGTTAAGGTTTTTAAGTGTGAATTTTCATGGAGGGTTTTGATGCGTCCGTGTCCCACTTTGGAGCACTTGAGCAGGCTACATATTACAACTACACCATAAAGCAATACCATTTCTTAAAGAAGACATCCCAGGGTATTTCAAAAGGCCTATTTTGAACCTTAGTGTGGGATCATTTTTCCGCTAGCTTGTAGCAACCGTAGTGGTAATAAGCATTTTTTCTGCCTTTTTGACACACAAAGCGAGTTTGCACAGTATATTTTGCAAACCTTATGTGTACTACGACTGTATACTACTTCTTATGTTGCTCAGCTATGTCGGTTGAGTACAGCAATAACCCCGTATGTACCTTTGCCAAGTATATGTGGACATTGAAGGGGCACATTTGAGACACAGCCATTCCAGTTTTTCTCAAATTTTGAATTTTTACGCTGTGTCCATGTCCCATTTTAGAGTATTTTACAAGGCTATATAATCCAATTACACCATAAAGGCATACCATTTCTTAAAGAAGACATCCCAGGGTAATTCAAAAGGCATATTTTGAACCTTAGCGTGGGATCATTTTTCCGCTAGCTTGTACCAAGTGTAGTGATAATGAGCATTTTTTAATGTTTTTTTTTACTTTGTAAAACTTTTTTTACTTTGTAAAACCCGTTTTTAAACTTTTTTTTACTTATTAAATGTTTTACACTTTCTTAACTTTTTTTACACTTTGAAATTTTTTTCTAAACTTTTCTTTTACCGTTAACCCCTAACTAGCAGTAAGCAGCACTAACAGTAAATTTCCCCCTTTCCCATAACTCCCACCCACTCCAGCTAGCAAAATATATATAATTATAAACCATTTAAATTAATTAATTAAATAAATTGAACCCCTGAGGGTTAAAAAATAAATAAAAGTTAATCCTCATGGTTAAAAGAAATTAGATTACAGTATAATACTGTGATCTGTATTTTGATCACTGTAGGCAGCGATCAACTGGCAGGGAAGGGGTTAATTTTTATTTAGACTGGGTAAAGGGGGGTGGTATTTATTTTTTTTTACTTAAACGTTACTAAAACATTTTTTTTAAAACTTTTTTTTACCTTTTTAAAGCTTATTTTAAAACTTTTTTTTAACGTTAACCCCTAGGTAGCCTAACACCAAATTCCCCAATTCCCCACTAACTTCCACCCATCCCAGCTAGCTAAATATATAATTTTGAAATATTTAAATTAATTAATAAAATAAATTTAACCCCTGAGGGTTAAAAAATATATAATTAACCCTCAGGGGGTTAAAAAAAAATCAGATGACATTAAAATGTATACCCTGCCAATTGATCACTGTAGTCAGTGATCAATTGGCAGGAAGGGGTTAATTTTATTAAAGCAGGGGAAAGGGGGTGGGATTTAACTTTATTTTATTTATTTTTACACAGGGAGAAGATCAGCAGCACTGATCCGTCTCCCTGCACTTCACACAGAACCCGGAAGTGCAGGGAGGCGGAAGGTAAGTACACTGAGCACATGTCATAGCGAGCACCGGTGCTGGGGCAGCCCGATCAGGTGCTCCCGGTCCGCCTTTAATACAGAGGCAGACCGGAGCACTGTTAACCCTGCAATCACGGCAATCGCCGCAATTGCGGCGATCGCCGCGATCTGGGGTCAACTTTAGTAAATGACGGAAATTTTCCGTCAACGGTCCTTAACTGAAGCACAAGGTTAACGGAAAATTTTCGTCTGCAGTCGGGAAGGGGTTAATCTCGGGTAGCTGAAATGTTCCAATCAAGCCTATTATTTTAAGAACTATATCAATAACTGGGAAAGGAGGTGAAGGTCCATCATAGAGTGGTCCTCTTCTTGCAGGTGTTAAAAAACAAGCACTTTATTTCTACATGGTCTTTCACAATAGTATTTTTAGTTCTAATGTAACCATAGAACTTTAAGATTTATGGTTCTCAACTTATAAATATAAGAGCAAATAAAATGTAACATATAACTGCAATTTTATTATAAAAACAAACCATGTACAAGTCATATGCCACTTATGAGAGAACTACATACAAAGCTATGATAATCATAGGGTAAATTAGGAATTTCTCAAAATTAACTTATAAATAGCAACATATGAAAATAGAATAATTACACCTTTTGTTATCCATTCCCCATATCAGCCAGATTCTAGCCTGTGAAGCCTCTGTTAAAGCTATGGTCTAGCCATAATAAATGTATTTTGAAATTAAAGAAGATATCCTGGCACCATAACAACTTAATCAGAATCAAGTTGTTAGGGTGCCAGGAGGGCTCTGGTGCTGGCTAATCTTCAGAGGTTAAACTGAGTCAGTTCTGTACCAAACTGCTGTTACAGTTTGAGGCTTCAATCAGGAAACCTCTGACAGGGGTGCCGCTGATAAGCTGATAGTGTCACATGACACTCTTATTCTATCAGTAGATCCCCATTCACAAAAAGGAGTGAGAAACATATGCATTTTTCTCACTCTATTGAGCTATTGTGTCAGTGTCAGCTTCCTGATTGTAGCCTTGGACTACAGTGGAAGTTCGTGGGCAGAGCTGACTAAGGACTTCATGGTTGAACTGGCACCAAGGACCTCCTGGAACCATAACAATTTAAATCCGATGAAGATGTTATGGTTCCTGGAGTGATCTTCAAGAGTTGATAGGACACATATAATTTTTTGGTTGCAGTCACTTAGACTGTTTATAAATCTGTTCTTATACAAGATTCATATAAATATATTGTTATACAACGTCAACCCTACCTGCCCTACAAGGCCAGCACATTTGTTGTATCAATCATCCATATCTAAAAAACAGGTGAAGAGGGTAGTGATAGCAATATTGATGCTACCATATCACAATTGCTTAAAGGGAAACTGGAATTTACTGGAAATGTAAACCATTTGATAAATAATTGAAAATGACCAATAATTTGTGCTACCTTTTTACATGAGATGCTCAATTTTCTTTTAAATCTATGTTAAAGATTTAGCAAATTACATCTTGATCCAGTTCAGACAACGCATTTTCTACTCATGTGCAGAGGAAAATAACAATTGTCAGGGAGCTTAGATGGAGGCGCCCAGCTGCAGGATAAAGAGATGTGGATTTCTACATCTCATTTTACTCTTTATACCACTGTGTGCATATTTGTAAAAATATTAATAAGTAAACATATTGTTAAAAGTTCTGGGAAAAGATTGTCCTCCTTTAAATGCATATTGCTATCAGGTACCTGCTTCACATCTACATCCTACTTAAATCTAAATCAGAACAATGCCTCTCTTTTTTTGTAATCATAGTGATTGGAATGACAACTACAAGATTTAAACATTAAGTTAATTCAGTCCTTGGAAGGAAACAGATATACTGAAAACGTTAGCAGGGTTATTCACTGAAATTAGAATTCAAAGTGAATTTCAATGTAATGGCCAATGCAGCTGAACTGGAAAAAATACTTTGAATTCAGGACAGTTCTGATTTTAGTGAATAACCCTATTTCACACGGACCACATTATAATTTTAGCATTCCTTTATGAAAATGTAAAACATTAAAATATTTATTGTTACCCACCATGAATTCCTATCATGTGTTCCAGAATCAATACTCTCTCTGCTAAAATTTTCAGGGCTTCTCTTAGCTGTTGGACACCTTCTCCCTGTAACAAAACAACAATTTATAGTTTAAACTAAAATAATGTTCAAAGTAATTATGTACACATATTGTCCAGTGAATCGCTCACCCCATACCTCCACGGTGCTGTAAGACCTTTATAAGCATAGATGCATTTCAGATCTATCTCTTAAAAGAATATTCCAAGCAATTTAACCATGAATAACCTGTTTCCGCTCCTTCCCCCATTGTATATAGTCAAACCATTTCAGTACATTTGGACTTTTTACCTGGGGTACACCGGTCACTGCTCCCTGCCTCTGCCAGAATGCTGGAAGTGAAGGCTTATTCATTTCTGTTGGCTCTCCAGTGGGCTTGCTCATTTTCTAATCACTCTCTGCCAATAAGCTATGCCTGCGCCACTGGGCTTAGCTTAGACAGAGAGTTTCTGGCTCTCTGGCTGATGTAATGAGACAGGGAGCAGCGCCAAGTAGAACCCAAGTAAGAAGTCAAACCATTCTAACACAGTTTGAATATATACATTGAGCAGAGTTGAGCGGGATTGGACACGAGGACACCACAGCCACCACAGCGTGCTTGCTTTGGTTATAGTGTCTGTATTATTCCTCTAATAGAATATGCAGTTCAATCATTTTGAGAAACACATTTTTTTTATCTTCAATTTTGTTTAGTACAGAACTTCCAAATATCCCGATAAACTCTTTTGATAAAGGAAACAAATTCATTGTGGAGATAAGAGGCATTTATTAATCTTAATAAAGATTCTTCAACATTTCATATGTTGACCATTGTTTCTAATATTTTATTTTCTGTGTAAGGTAAGCACTTATATATAAAACATATGATAGTACTGAAGTTCCACATTTTTAAGATTTATATGTGAAAGTGAGATTTTGATCAGTGAATTTGAACTTAAAATCAGTTAATCAAAGTAAGTGGAGGTCACTTCAATTGGGTTGCTTAAAGCTGTCCTACACAAACTAAAATATTGATATAACAGAAATGCATTAGCTAAACAGCATTTTTTGGAAGAATTGTTTCCACAACTCACTGTTTAGTGAAATATATCAGTGTAAATGTTAGAATTTTAAGTATTGAAAGAAACATTAAAGGAATACTGTAGTGAAAGGAATACATATCTGTATTCCTAATGCTACAGCCCTGATGCCCTATAGCAATTAGGTCCCTCCCCATGTGTAAAACAAACAAAAATATAACAAACAAAAACAACTCACCTTTTCTCCAGCGTCGGCGCTGCCATAACTTCCTTATAAGGTTTGTGTCTTCCTGGAGAGGTTCCTCCAGGATGATGGGCCAATCCAACGCGCCTATAATTCTTTCAGAGAGAATCGTTGTATTCAATGATTCTCTATTGCCGACTGTAGCGTGAGTGTCGGGAAGTAAGATTCCCACCTCTCGTGTGCACAGGTCTTGGAGGCGTAGCTTGAAGTCAAGATTCCAAGTATAATTCTAATTAGTTTAATAGTGGGTTTTGGGGAGTTGGAAGATGGGGCAGGACTGCAGGCACTATAACAACTTCACAAAGATGAAGTTATCAAAGTGCCTACAGTGTCCCTTTAAATGTGTTTGGTGCTCATACCTCTTCTCCTTTGTGTCCTTCTTCATTAATACCAGCTTCACCCTAAAAGGAACACACCAAAATGAACTTTTTAGTCGTTTTCAAACCTGAAAATGAGCAGAAATCAGATGCTAAACCAAGTCTACATTTCAACAAATGATTGATCTGTTAAAAGTTCTCGAAAGAATGTAATAATTCAAAAGATGAGAGAATAGTATGTGAAACTGACATGTTCAATTACTAAAGTGAGAATTGAAAATGAATTTCAAATTTATGTCTAAAGTAGCCAAAGTGAGAATATAGCTGATTGATCATTTTTAAAGTTCAGCTATTTTGATCTGTAGTTTGAAATTTGCGTTGGATTCTCAGTTTAATCAATAAACCTGTGAAAACATTTTTAAATAAATTCAGTCTTATACAGGTATAATAACTGAAGTGAAAATTGCCAGGAAACCAATGTGAATTCAAAGTGAATTTTAAATTTGGTCAAAATAATCCGAGCTGGAAGCATAGCTAGCTGATTTAAAGAATATTTCAAATTCACCTATTTTGGCCTGAAATTTTAAATTAATTTTGAATTCACTTTTAATGCCCAACTTTAGTATAAAACCCTGCTAATATCATACAATGAGAAGAATAAATAACAGTTTTAAAATTGTTAGAAGTGAAAAAATATATAAATGCTTTACATTTTTAAATATGTTGGCTAATGCTGTTTTTTTCTGATAACAAGCACACCATCTGCTACTCTTTTAAAAAACCTTGTTTTTTTTATCAGGAAACAACATGCATATTTTAAAGAAAATTAAAGGATCACTATAGGGTCAGGAACACAAACATGTATTCCTGACCCTATAGTGTTAACACCACCATCTAGACCCCCTGGGCCCCTCATGCCTCCATAAATATAGCAAAATCTTACTGTATCCAAGCCAGAAGCTGTAACTCTGCATGCTGTTTGCCTAAAAAAAACAAGTAGTCTGCTGACATCATCAGAAGTGGTGGCCTGATCCAATCACAGTGCATCCCCATAGGATTGGCTGAGACTGACAAGGAGGCAGATCAGGGGCAGAGCCAGCATGATTCAAACACAGCCATGGCCAATCAGCATCTCCTCATAGAGATTAATTGAATCAATGAATCTCTATGAGGAAAGTTGAGTGTCTGCATGCAGAGGGAGGAGATACTGAATGTTTGGATGCATTTTAGGCAGCCATGAACCAGGAAGGATCTCTAACAGCCATCTGAGGAGTGGCCAGTGAAGTTATCACTAGGCTGTAATGTAACACTGCATTTTCTCAGAAAAGACAGTGTTTACAGCAAAAAGCCTGAAGGTAATGATTCTACTCACCAGAACAAATTCAATAAGCTGTAGTTGTTCTAGTGACTATAGCGTCCCTTTAAAATAAAAATGTTTTAAAACATTTCTTGAATGGCATTTTCCAGGCTGGAAACCACATGATCTCCACATAGATAAACCCTTTTAAAAGCTTAATGGATATAGTGCTATACAAATATGTAGTATTTCTAAAAACAGGCAACAGAGAACAATAGTGTCTGTCTGATGCTCTTTTCCAAATGGACACTGCAATGTTTAAATGACGAGCAATGCAATTAGAATTGCTTCGTTATGTTATGCTAAAAAATTTTCTCACAGGAGAAGTCATTTGTCTGAGCTGGCCAAGCTTTTTCAAATTTTATCCTGTCCAGTTTTGGTGCCGCTGTTCTCATTGTAGCCTCGATTCCCTGTTCATAGTTGAGAGAAGTGAAACCCATCCAGTTCATGCTCTATTTTCAGAGATACTCTTCCGCATAGCGCTGTTGTAACGTGTCTATTTCAGTTAGTGACTTCTTCCTGTCAGCTTGAACCAATCTGCCCATTCCCCTTCAAACTCTCTTATCTCCCACATTACTGGATTTTTAAATTATTATTATTGTTTGCTGGGGTCGAGGGGTTCGCCATTCTTTGTAAATCCTAGAGACTGTTTTGTATAAAATCCCAGGAGACTTGTAGTTTCTGAAATATTTAAATGACCATGTCTGGTTTCATTAATCATCTAAAAGTGCACTTCTTCCACACTATGTTGTATATTTTGATCCGGTCTTTTTAATTAAAGAATAAACTAGTAAACACAATGCAATAAAGGGCATTGTGCAATATAAAACCGAACCTTATAAGAAGGCTTACTAGAACCGAAAACGTTCACAGTTATACATAAAAGGCACAAATAAAGTAACAAGCTATTCAATATTGAAAGCACAGCGTAGAAGAGCTGAAACACTTTACCAGTGATTGCCAAAAGACAGAATTAAAACTCCCATAATGCTTGCTCAACCATAAGGCTGACAAAGCATCATAGAACTTGTAGTCCCATAACATCTGGAGGTCTACCATTTGCCCACCCTTGCTCTTCACTAAGTCTGTATAATCTTATGCATTGAGATGCTGCGCACGTGATTGGCTGATTAGATCTGTGCATTAAAAAGTAGATCTACAAGCATACACAAAAAAAACCCAAAATATTATAATGCTTCATAGACAAAGGCATTGCGTGGTTGGTACTTACAGGTGGACCTCTAATACCTTGCTCTCCTGTCAATCCTGGCAAACCCTGTTGAAAACAAATTAAGAAAACAAAGGAAAAAGTAAGATAGAATATATTCAGTAGGAGAAATGTAAACTTTTTAGTTTATTGAAACCATATATCAGACTCAACATGGTGAACAAAAAAAAACCAAAACAAATGCATTGGTAACAGGTATTGAAATAATATAGAATTTCAGTAACACGCCTTTTCTATATTTGGTAAGAAATGGATGTTTTAGGCGTTCATTTAACAACAATAGCAGCAAAACTAGCATGATAAAAAAAAAAGATTGGACATAATTTAGTTTGTTATGTACTATACAATTTTATTTGTTTACAAAAGTCCTTTATCTGCTCTTGTTTATTAATTTCATAATAGAGAAACATGAATGACCTGTTTTCTAGCATTAAAATAAACACTGTGTTACCATTAATTTATGTCACAAGAGCCCAAACTTGTCCTTCGAGCTGTTGGTTCTCCAGCTGCCGACAGCTGTCACAGAATTTTGAGAATGGAATGTTAGTTCAACAACAGCTGAGGATCACTGCCCCTGCTTTAGCCTACAGATTTATTGGTTACAAACAAAGAACAAACAGAATAATAAGAACGATATGCCACTCACCCTTTCCCCTTGGTCTCCTTTTTCTCCCTTTGTTCCTGGCTGACCTGCTAATCCTGGTTTACCCTATAAAAAATAGTAAATCTATCTAGTAAAACATGCCAAAGATTTCATATTTGATGTACATAAGACTTGGTTTACAAGACATAAATATCCTTGGGAAACAAAATAATACTGTAGAAGGAAGCATTTTCATAAGAGAGAAAATACAAAGTATAAAATTATATAGCATTACTTTTTCTCTCCCCCTATACGCTATATACTTGCTCTGCAATGCTCTATTTAGTTTACTACACAATATCTCATAACACAGATAAAATGTTAAAGGACCACTAAAGTCATCCAGTCCATTTCATCTCAATGAAGTCTGGGTGCAGTGGTCCTGTCCTCTTAAACCTGCAATGTAAAACAGGTTTTTTAAAAAAAATAAACTGCAAGGTTTACATCATCCTCTGGTGAAACTATGTCACAGGATGAGGAAGCCCCCATGATACAAAGCTTTGCTATGTGGAAGCTTGGATGCGTGTGGCACTTGCAGAGCATGCACATCGGGTCCCCAAAGTTCCTCAATGAGGAACATTGGAATGGTAATTGGCAGAGGAGGCCATGCCTTCTCCATGACTTCTGGTGACTCAGAGAGGTAAGCAGCACTTGGTGAGTCCAGGCTCTTGAAAAAGGTAAGTAAAATAATTAATGTTGTTATTTTATATTGCATATATATATATATATATATATATATATATATATATATGTTTTTTGAATAGGGGCAAGGACACTAAAGCATTTGGAAATCCCATACTGGAGAGTGCAGCCTATTCAACTTTACATATCCACTGCTGTGTTCATCACAATTAGCTATGCAGAAGCCGATAAAGTTTAATAGGCTATAAAGTTGGCAATTTGATGTTACTGTTAGTGACTGATAATTAGTGCTTGTTGTTACATTTTAATGTCTATGCTAATGCCAGGTTTCTATGCTATATCGTCCAAAACTACCGTCAGGACAAATGCAATTGCTATTTCAGTCAATATTATGTCTTTAACTTGCATTAAACTGGAAAAGAAAAGATAACAACTGCAAAATGTTTAAATTACCTACAGAAAAAAGGTATTTATTCCAGTTATAAGTACAATAAAGGATACACACTATGGACCCATAAACCCCTTTAGCTTGCTGAAATGCTTTATGTGTGATTAGTGTGTCCTCTTTGGCACTTTTATAAATTAACCTTGTTGCACCCCCTAGCTGTCCATCAGGTCCTATGACTTGCTGCTTTATTTAGCTCAGTGGAACTACTTTCAAAAGGTAGCAATTTCACAGAGTGCCTGCCTTGCAAAGGCTTCTCATTGAGCGACATTGAAATATCTTTGATTGGACAGACACAGAAAGTTTGGGCTGGGAAAGACAAAGAGGACTTGTAAATGCTGCAGATAAGAGAACTGCGGCTTTTGAAAGATGTTTTTAGATATAACCCCAATGGAAAATGCATAGTTACATTTGTGCATGTTGTCATTGGGTGTATATCTACTAAATATTGATTTTTGGATTTTTTTAAAATTTATTTCGACAGTTTAGTGCCCCTTTAAGCAACAAAGACTATATATAAGCTAAAAAAAAATTCCTTCAAAACTAAACCAGAGTAATATGTACATGAAAATATAATTTCCCTTTGAAGAGTGCAAAACAGAATTTGGCTAAATATTTTCAAATGCACAAGATATGATGGAGGTTTATAAACCCACCTGTGGCCCAGGAATGCCCATTGGTCCAGAGGGTCCTCTTGGTCCAGAAGGTCCTAATTAAATTTTAAAAAAAAATCTGTTAACTGGTATAAAAAGGTATTATTGAATTAAAACTAAAAATACTCTATTCAGCTATTCACCAAGACTAAACCATCTTCATCTGTAATATTGATATCAGAATTGGTAGCTGGAAAGGTTTAACCAATAATTGCAATAACTCTAACAAACCGATTAGTGGCAGCATGATACCTATGAAGAACCAAACCACATCTCCATTCCACCTCAAGTTCCCTGGCTATATGAGGTGGTATACCAATGATGGGTTTTGAGTTACTCAGTAAAATATCACTTTTCAAAGAAAGTAATGTGAATCTTAGCTGACACTTTAATAGATAGCAAAGTGACAAAGCTCTGAATTTGGAGAAATCTAAAAAAGACAGAGGGAGACAAGTAAGTTGTGTCAGCTAGGGATATATAACTTGATATGTGAGTGCAATTTATTGCCAATTTTAGAGTATTTATTAGACATGTGCAATTCTTTTAGTTCCGAACGTAAATTCGGACAAATGTCGGCAATTCAGACATTCGGGTGCTTCCGACTCTCTGAATTGCCAAAGTGCCGAATTTCAGAAGTTCCGAACCGAATTGCAGAAGTGTCAAATTCCCGAATTTCAGATGTGCCTATCCGAACTGAATGCCGAAGTGCCGAATTTTGGATGCTTTGGATTTCTGAAAAGTGGCAAAACAAGAGAGGGAGGGAAAATTACGTGAATGATGACAGGAATCTAGACCAATAAGCTAATTCCTGGCACTGGGAGCCCTATAGATGTGTAAGTGGCTGTGGTGGCAGTCCGAGCACCTAACCCTACCCTGAACATACCCCTAACCCTACCCTAACCCTAACTCTAGTGGTAGGGTTAGGGGCAAGGGTATAAACCATAAAAAAAGATAATTTTTTGTTGAAAAACTGTACCAGCTAATATCTGAATCAGATGAGAATGGGAAGTTACAAGAGGTAAAAGTTTAATTTTACATTAATGGAAAACAGCAGGTCTTTGCAGCCACCGATGGTAAGAAATGAGATTTCTACCAGGCACTTCTTCGAAATAAAGTTCTATTAAAAGCAAGAGTAGAGCTTCTTTCAAACATAGCAACAAGTGACTTTGTAAGGTAAAATCATGTAGCCATTATCCAAACTGACTCTAAATACACACATTGCAGTTAAATCAAAACCAGGAACTGCAGAGCATTGACTAAAAATAAATATGTATTTTCAGGTAGCTAAATTTAAGTATAAGCAAACATTTACTTTTACCAGAGTCATTGCTGCCTTAATCCACTTGCATTGTACAGATTTGTAGATATATGTTTTTGCTTAAAGAGAATTTCTATTTACAAAAATGTATACATTTGAAGGCATATAATTAACAGTTGCAAAAAACTATGCATTTGCAAATATTTCCCAAATCCCCAAAAAGTATATTTTATTAGCTGCAAAACTGGCCTCTGCAGCTAATGAAGATTCGCTCCATCTTGACGAGTCATACTTCCTTGCTTTTACTGAGTATTGTTCAATAAACTGTTTCTCGTAGAGAAGCGATAAGGACAAATGAAAATATTCTCATTGACATGATCTGTTTTATTCAGATTAAGGGATTTGTCTAAAAATATTCTGATTTGGGACTGTATTAGTTCAAGTGCTGTTTTTAGGTATTACTTTATTTTTATCCATTGAACTGGTGACTTGCCATATAGAACTACGTTAAACAAAAAATCTTGTCAGGCTCAGCCAACTACTGAATACAGTGGCGGATCCAGAGCCTGATCTCGGGAGGGGCACTTGTAGATTATTTAAAGAAATAATCCAGACACAATAACAACTACAGCTCAGTGTAGTAGTTATGGTGTCAATAGTGCCGGGACCCCCTCCCAGAGTAAGTAGTCAAACCGTTTAAGAACAGTTTGACAACTTACCTGAGGTCTGCTGGGAAATGGGGAGGTAGTAGGGCATAGGAGCAGTGGTGTGTGTGAGTGGTGCAGTGTGTGTGTGTGTGAGGGGGACAGTGTGTGCGCAGTGTGTGTGTGAGGGCGGCAGTGTGTGTGTGGGACAGTATGTGTGTGTAACAGTTGCAGTGTGTGTGTGAGTATTGCAGTGTATGGGGCGGCAGTGTATGGGGGCAGTGTGTGTGTATCGGCTAGTGTATGTGTGTAGAGTGTGTGTATGGGGGGCAGTGTGTGTGTATGGGGCAGTGTATGTGTGTAGAGTGTGTGTATGGGGGCAGGGCAGCGTGTGTGTATGGGGGACAGTGTGTGTATCCCGGCAGTGTATGTGTGTAGGGAGTGTGTGCGGGGGGGCAGTGTGGGTGTATGGGGGCAGTGGGTGAGGGGGGGCAGTGTGGGTGTATGGGGGCAGTAGGGTGTATGGGGGGGGCAGTGTGTGTGTGTATGGGGGGCAGTGTGTGTGTATGGGGGTAGTATGGGGGCAATGTGTGTGTGTATGGGGGGGCAGTATAGGTGTATGGGGCAATGTGTGTATATGGGGGCAGTATGGGTGTCAGTATGGGTGTATAGGGGGCAGTATGGTGTGTATGGGGGGGCAGTATAGGGGCAATGTGTGTGTGTGTATGGGCTGATGTGTGTGTGTGTATGGGGGGCAGTGTGTGTGTATGGGGGGGCAGTATGGGTGTATGGGGGGCAGTATATATGTGTATGGGGGGCAATGTGTGTATAGGGGGCAGTATGGGTGTATAGGGGGGAGTATAGGGGGCAATGTGTGTATAGGGCAGCAATGTGTGTATAAAGTAGGCAGTATATGGGGGGGGCAATGGGTGTATGGTGAGGGCAGTATATGTGTATAGGGGGCAATATGTGTATGGGGGCAATGTGTGTATAGGGGGCAGTATGGGGGCAATGTGTATATAGAGGCGGCAATGTGTGTGTGTATGGGGGCAGTATGGGGGCAATGTGTATGGGGGCAGTATATGTATGGGGGCAAATGTGTGTATAGAGGGGGCATGGTGTATGGGGGCAGTATAGGGGCAGTATATGTGTATGGGGGGGCAGTATGTGTATGGGGGGGCAGTATGGGTGAATGGGGGGCAGTATGGGGATCAGTGTATGTGTGTAGAGTGTGTGTGATAAGGGTAAGGGGGCTTTTTTTTTAAAATATATTTTTTTTTATTTAGTTTAATAAAAATAATCATTTCGATCCCTTGTGCCATTACAAAAAGAACCAGGGAAATTTGCATATCCTACTGATCCAACCCAAAGGGGCAGTGCAGATCCAAAATGCAGGTCTGCTCTCTCTGCACGGAGACACAGCAACTCCAGACAATCGTTTCAACCTTGTTAGGCTTCGTCAGTGAGGTATAGCCGATATCTCTCCAGGTACCGTGAGCAAGGGGTCAACGTATGGATTACCCTTTAAGCTTAGGGAGAGCAAAAAAACAGGTTGCAAAAGAGTACTGAGAACAGACAACAGGTCAATTAGCTTGCCCTTCGGTGGGTCCTCGCTCAGTTCTCAAGCTGGTTTTAGCTCATCTTGTGCCATTAAAAAAAAACAAAAAAACAGGGTCAAATGATCGTCTGAGGTTGCTGTATCTCTTGTGCAGAGAGAGCTGGCCTGCATTTAAGATCTGGACCACCCTTTTGATATGCAAATGCCTTGGTTTTCTTTGTAATAGATGAGCTAAAACTAGCTCAAGATCTGAGCGCCCTAGGTATTCTCTTGCACCCTGTTTTTTTGCTTTATTTTAAATGTTTCGGAACCCAATAAAACTTATAGTTTAACTACAACCAATCTCAGCCAAATCTCACTGAGCATAATGGTGGTTGTAGTCCAGAAGAGGCAAGCAATTTCTTGTCTAGGTTTGATGAGAGATACTAGCTTGTGTTTTTTTTTTATTTTATTTTATTTTATCTCTGCACCTATGAGGAGCAGAGATTTAAAAAACAAAAAACAAATGAGAACTGATGTATGCTCTTCCAGTGTCAGGGAGTTACATGGCTCTCCAAACTCTGGCACTCCAGATTGTGTTGAACTACAACTCCCATGATTCTCTATCAATCTATGGCAATCAAATAATCATGGGAGTTGTAGTTCAGCAACATCTGGAGGGCCAGAGTTTGAATAACCCTGAGTTAGAGAGTAAAATTAATTAAGAACCAACAGCAAGAGCTTTGATATTGTGGGCCGGATTCTCATAGCATAGTAAGCGTTTACTCTGCTTATTGAATAGCAACTTTCCTTTAGACCTCAACAGAGGAATTGCTATTCAGTAAGCAGAGTAAACCTTTTTTCTGCTAAGAGAATCTAGCCCAGCGTGTGCAATTTATCCAGCCATAGGCAGTCTGTCCAAGGCATCTCAGCTTAGCATGCTGTGTGTGCCTTGTGTGTACCAGAGGCAAAAGTTGAACAAAACTCAGAATTCAAGCAAGAGCTGGTTGATTGTAGCCCAGGGAGGTAGCGCAAAAGAAAATAAATGTATTTATCTGTGGAATCCATCATTTAAAAAAATAAATAAATGCAGCAGAGACAAGGTATCTGAAACATTACTGCTTCAGTAAGATAAAGTGGTTGTGGTACCTAGAGTCTATTCTTGTCTAAGAGTAAGTTCCACGCGATGCAGGAAATGCGATAGGATACTTTTCTGGTTTTTATACCTTTTTTTGGTTTATGATTATTAAAGTTTAGTACTATTTGCACTTTCTGTTATTTTATCACACCAATTGAAGTTCTACTTGGATGCTGCTTAGAGTGTCCCATAAAAGTCTTTGAAGTCACAGATTTAAACTGAAAAATTCAATATGACAAAATAATGTTCCTCACCATTTATAAAGAAACTACTCATAATTAAATTACTCTAATTAGGAACAGCCCAAATTCCTTTGATGTTATAAGTAGCTGCATATGGGGGTCCTAAACCTTAAAATTAGATATTCATTAGAATGAATGGAGATTTTTTTAAAGAATGTTTTCTAATAGCCACATTAAATACAAAACAAATAACAATTTAGGAGACCTATATTCACCCAAATTATTCTCAGATTTGATACAAACATATCAGAAATTTATTTCCAAACAATTCTTTTGTAATTAAAGTTTTATTGGTTTCCGAAACAATTTTTAAACTTTCCCTGACATTAAAGAAATGATTAATTCAGCACAGATGTTTCACAGTAACACATAAATTATGGAACCAAAGTACTTGGAGTCCTTACCAATTCCTATTAACAAATATGAAACCAAACATAACTAACTTCACATGAGAAAATGGGGAAAAAATAACTATATCAATGATATCCAAGATTAGAAGCAAAGTCCCAAGGTGAGACTAACAATACGGTGCGCCTTTTCTTTTAACGAACACTATAGGCACACAGACCACTTCAATGTTTTCTTTGCAAAGATACCAGGCCACTAGTGGCTGTCAATATGACAGCCGTTGGAGGCACTTCTGTGGAATAGTGGAGTAAAACTACATTACTTCCATCAGATGGTTTAATAGAGACCACCTGTTTGGAGCTACATGGCGTGTTGCCGTGCAATGCATGCGCAAATGCCTCCTACTGCTTTCCTTGGTCAAAAAATTGGATTGGCTGAGATTATCAATTTTAAACAGCCACGGACATTGCAGCGCGGTGTGGGAAACAAGGTAAGTAAACTCTTAAGGAGTTAACTTTTAACCCATGCAGTATAGATGGGGAAATGGGGGGAGGGCCTGCTCACCTAAATGGTGACAAAGGCAATATGTTAGGGATGTTCATTTGTATTCCTAACGCTATAGTGTTCCTTTAAGGTAACATGCACAGGACAATAGATGGAATGTTATCTGGCATTCCATTCTATATAGTATGGTATGACCCTGTTTGCATGTGCTGTACTGCACCTGCACTGCATTCCTTTGCAGCATGTAAATACCATTAGCCATATGGTAATGTTTTATTACTACCACTTCAATCACTAGTTTCCTCCAAATAAATTTATTTTTTGTAATTATTATTGGTGTATAATTTGAAACAGAGACCTGGCACTGCTCAATTTCTAGCTCTGGGAAACAGAACATTTCCCAAATATTAACTCTCTATGTAATCATAATTCTCTATGTTTTATATAAATGTTAAGTGGCAATTATAAAGATTTCACACGCAAAAAAATAAAAGCTTTCTAAGTATATCTACCACTCACTCTCACCTCTTTTGCAGGTGTAAGTTGCTTTCACTTACCTGGCGGTCCAATAGGGCCTGGTGGTCCACGAGGACCAGGAAGTCCAGACATTATTGTGTCTGTAATTGTTGACACGAGATGTGGCTCTCCATCTGTGTGATAAAAAAAGTAAAATATATATTTTAATATATATATATATATATATATATATATATATATATATTGGGAGTAGAGGTTGTAGCTGTATTAGTCCAGCGATGCAGTTGTAAAATAAAATATTAAATTAGTATCTTCTATCATATGGCAGATGTTTAATTCCATTAATAAGGGTCAATAATTATTCATCATTAGTCAAGTATAAATAAATCAAGACTAGCAACCCAACACGAACTGGAGAGTAGAAATTTGCAGCATGCGTCACAATTCCCAAGAATCGATTCATTTCAGAGCATAAGTTATACTGATATTTATATTCACATTATGTGATCTGGGAGAAAGTATATTGAGCAAAAGGGAAGCGTTTGTTAATTAAAGTCACAAATGTTTAAAACTTTAAGCACAGTACACTTACAATAATAATAATAAAAACGTATGTAAATCATACTCCAAACTTGGATCCCATTACAATCTCATTTAAATTACATAACCATATATAGCTTTATATAGAGGTGGCCTATCTGCAATTCTAAATAACTGACAAATACCAGTAAGTAGAACCAAACTAAAGGCTTATATATATACATACACTTGCTTTTCTATGGACCATTGTCCTTACGTGGTCTCAAAGCTCGTAAACCTGTTATTATTGTTTCTGTTCCTGATTCTTGTTATTTTACTCTCTAGTATTATCCCTGTGTACGCTACGTTGACCACATTCACCCTGTGCCTGTATAGTGTACCAGACCACGACTATGAGTGATCACGATATAGTCCTGTTTCTGTATGTGTACAAGACCAAGCGTGTTGACCTCAAGTTTACACAGATTGTTGACTTGTATCTTGCTGAGGATCCCAACGTGTTGTGACATTATCTCTGTTATGTTGAAGGAATAATAGTAAATGTGTTCTAAACATGGAGATAAATTCACATTTCCTATTATGACTATTATTACTCATTTCATTGGTCATCCTCAGAGGTTCTGAAGGACTGTTCTGACTCTTCTAAAAATAGAAACTACTAAGCAAGTGTTCTACAGTTTTCTTATTAACAAAATGAGCTAACAGGTTTCATCATGAAGTCTGCACACAGTCTCTAATATTAGTGAGAAACACCTGATCTGTGAATAAAATTAACATTTAGTGGCTGTCCCCTAACCATCTACCATATTTTACCCATCAATCATCTCTTTATCTTATGCCACAGATAGAATTTGAATTACAAATTAAACTAAAATACTTATCCATTGTGCAGGTTGTTAATTCGGTCATACGTATAGCACTTCATGGTTATGGCATAATTGTTATTCGGCCAAAAACTAATGCTCAAGTCTAGTTGATGCAAGAATGACACCGAAGAAGCTAAATGGAAAAATTATGCCCAGCTATGGCGTCAATAAATGACACAGGATTGGAGCATCCCGTGTTACATCAGCTAAAGGAAAAGTCATTGCTGGACATTGAACAGAATTGGTAGTTATTATGACAGGTGTTTAGTGTATAAACCCCAAAAAGCATGCATCTTTTCTAACTTGGTGTGTATGTTAAATAGAATTTATTTGTTTTTCATTTACTTCCAGCCTTAGGAATTCAGTAATATATTTGTTGCCATAAAGCATACATTTTCATTTAGGTATGCCTGAAATGTTTGCTTTAACTGCTAACACATTGTCCCAACTTTTGTCTGCTAATGTAGTTTTTCATTATTTTCCCATTGTTAAATGGAATCTGTAGTACTGTTATTATTAACCAAAACCTAGCCTTTAACTGTGCTTAGATTAAGGAAAATGAATCAATGCTTTCCTTTCGGAATTGTGAAGTTAAACTCCATGAAAATGTTGGAAGCGTGACTGTACGGTAGACAGCCGCTAGAGGCAGTCTTAACCCTGCAATGAAAACATGTAAATGTAAATAATGTTAACAAGCAATTTCTCTAATACTACAATGTTTTAAGTTGCAGGGTTAAGGGGACAGGGAAATGCACCCAGACCACTTCAAAGAGATGAAGTGGTCTGGGTGCCTGTAGTGTCCCTTTAAACTCGGTGGTTGGAATTTAAATGTGATCATGTTTTCCCATTGTAATACCCTTTCTCACACTCTTGGCTTTATTTCGCAAACTAAACACTTAAAGAATACCCCAGGCACCCAGACCACTTCTACCCATTGGAGTGGTCTGGGTGCCAACTCCCATCGCAATTAACCCTGCAAGTGTAATTATTGCAATTTTTCTAAACTGTAATATTTACCTTGCAGGGTTAAGTCCCCTTCTAGAGGATGTCTATTAGACAGCCACTAGAGGTACTTCCATGTTCTTAGAACACGAAAAGTGCTTTAAGCAACGCTGGACGTTCTCACGCTATGTGAGGACCTCCAGTGTCGCCGAAATCCCTATAGGAAAGCATCGAATAATGCTTTCCTATGGTGAGGTCTAACGCGCGTGCGCGTCCATTGCCGCACATGTGCATTAGGTCTCCCCCGCCGGCTGACTTAAATGGAACCTTTTTTTGCAAGGGGAACTAGGCATACATGTTCCAGTCGTGCCTTGACAAACTCAAGTCACGCCATGTTAGGGAGTCCCACCATTTTTTATTCTTTTCACTCACCAATGATGTCATCATTCCGTTACTCCTGAGGATATTTATTTGTTCATTTTGTTCCAGTAGGTTTCCATATCATTGAAACCATCTGCATAAATCACATATTATAAGCCAGAATGATATACCCTAACATGCAAGCCTGAGACAGATAGAACGATAGCACATACTATCGGCCCTTAGGGTGGTCGTAGTCAGAATAGCGAAGGTCAGGAGTACAGAGAGACAATAATGTAAGGATATAGATCCAAGGTCAGGATAACAGATTTCAGTGTAGTCAGGATAAACCAATAGTAAGGCAGGTGATTGACATGCAGGAGAGATTTGGACCTAAAAAAGGTTTTAAAGAGTATAATATATATATATTTTAATTTCAGTGTTTGGGGAAAAAACAGTCGGTGCTTAGCAGATGAGCAGACATATTAAGAATACTCATACAATTGTTTCTGTCTTTTTTACTTAAAAGATTTTTGTAGATTTTTTTCCAGCTGGTTGTAAACTACTGAAAACAAATATAGTCAAGATTTTCCTCCACAACTGAAAGAAAAGGATTAAACTACCTGGCACTTACAGTTATAGACACATAAAAGTAGTTTGGATTTGCTGTGATCCTCACTGGTTACGTTGTATGGAAAATATTTTAAGGAAAAACAAACTAATTAACTTAAACAGTATTCTTTGTTTTCTTTTTCTTTGCTGCTTCATCCACAATCTCTTCTCAGATGACTTTTTTTCACCAAAGAATTGCAAAATAATTGAGCATCCCTATCCAGCTCCAGTCTGAATTAAGATCCGTTTTATGAACTGTCAACTAAAATGTATTCAGGTTTTATAAACACTGACATTACATATTAAACTACCAGTAGATAATCCTGTACAGATTTTGTATATTGAACTGAATGTCTGATGTCTATATCTCATTCTATGGCTCCCCCTACTGTACAGATTTGATGCAGCTGTTTTTTGTTGTTTTTTTTAAAGGGGTTACTCCATGCATCATAACCACTACAGTCCACTGTAATGGTTATTATGCCTGAAGTACCCTGACCTTATTTCCTTTAATGGGGCAAATAATCTTTCTATGGTTTACCATCCTACCTGGTCATGCTGGGTGTCGAGGGTCCTCTCTTGCTGGCTGTGATGTACATCCAACTTCTGAAGAGTTGCAGAAGATGGATGCCAGTCCTGTTGGCCATTCTTTGGGTAAAAGCATCAGCTGACAACTCTCAGCCAATGAGTGCAACTCTGTTCATATAAATATAATGATGCCCAAATGACGCTGCCAGAGGTGTCAAACTCTTTCCACACTCATGTCCTATAACTTCCTTTTCAAGCTCCACCCATCCCTAGTAATGCCAAACTAAACTTTAAACACAACATTGATACATATACTGTTCATATTAACACATATACACTATGATAATAATAATAACTAGTATTCTCCCAGTGGGACTCAAAGCGGTTTTCAGCACACGCTCTTGGAATTAACCAAATCGGCAGCTGAATAGTAATAGATGTTATTATTACCCAATTGATGGTAGTCATTTTATCGATCTGAGTTGACCCTGCCGGGATTTGAAACTGTGACCTTGCAGCTACCTTACCGGCACATTATAGGGGAAATGTCCCTTCCCAGTTGTAACGGAGTTCCCTGTACCCCGGTTGCGTACCTCCGCCAAGGGTCTGTTTACGAGCTGTGGCTGGATAGGGGAACTAGCTCTGCTCGCTCCCAGGCACTGGACGGCCCTCAGTCCTGGGAGTTACAGTCCTTACAAGGACTTTCCCCACTACATCCTCCACCAGCTGTGACAAGCTGGCACAGGGATTAACCCTTTCTTCCCCCCAGTAACTGGACAAGATTTAGTTCTGGAGGTTACAACACTGACAATCCTTTATTGGTACACACAGCTTTTATGCACAGACCCCCACAGGGGGTCTTCACTCTTTCAATACACTTTCCTTTATCCCAGGCAGTAGAGGGGGATGGTTTACAGATAACCATCTCCCGCTCTGGGAGATACCAACAGGACACAGTTACATACATTAACACATATTACAAAAAGGGGGGGGGGGACTTAGGGGCCCTGTGGAGAGCTCTCTCTGGGCAGCTACAAGCCTGGCCTCATAGGTCCCGGGTAGGGCGAACAGTGATTATGGAGCAGGTGGGAGATCCAAACCACCAGTACCAAAAAGTGTCCCCATCAACCTCATGGACCCGTTCATGGAATCCCGGTGCGAAGACCCCGCAATGGAAGCGTCTCCTTTCGGGAAACGAATGCTCCCCCCGGATGGTGTTCGCCTATACGAAATGGCAGCCACCCAGGGGAGCACTCATTAATTACTTCCATGGCGGTTTCACACTTATGTTGCAGGTGCAAATGTTCTGATTGATTGGTGTGCGCATTCTAATGGGGTACCGGGGTGGTCTGCGTTCGGGAGATAAACTGGTTCCGTTTGCATGAGTGCATCTGAACGGTTAACTGGGTATATAATACGAAATACGTAGAAATACATAAAAATACATGGGGAACCATACATTACACAGGGGGGAAGCACACAAATAAGCAGTGGGCGTGGTACTCAGTGACGGCGGTCCATCACACCATTATCTTTACTGATCCCTATATTTAACAAATATGTATTTATTGAGAAAAATAAAATTACATGTAGAAATCCAACCTCTTTATCCTGCAATTGGGTGCCTCCATCTTGGCTCCCTGTCAGTAATTGTTATAAGCTCTGTCCTTTGCACCTGGCAGTCAGCATAGATAGCACACAGATAAAAAGAGAAGTGAAACAATGTTTATATTTTTCCTCCTCATTTGTAATGTTTCCACTAATGGGTTTATTCACTAACGTCAGAATGGTCCAGTACCGAATGGAGCAAAACCATCCAGCTGCATATGTAGACATTGTTCACAATATCTAACAATGTCCGGAATTTGCAATTTCGAACAGGCCTGAATTTTGAACGGATTTCAGCTGGTCAAATGTGGGCCTGGGGGCTTCAAATCAGATTTTAAAAAATATGCAAACTATATGCCCGCTAGCAGCACTAGCCATAAATCGTATACTTACTTATGTTATTTATTCATTGGAATACCCATGTGGGCAAAACTGGCGATAATAAGCAGAATAAAATAAAATAATAAATAAAATAAATATGGTACCCCTACATTTCTTAGAGGCACATGAAGAAGATCCTTAAGGCTTAAGAGTAAAAGGACTAAAAACTATAGCACCTACCAAACGAGGCAGAGATAGGTTCACTAAGCTGCAAAAAAGGGAATCATACTGGATTTTTAAAATAGGTACTTTGTATAAAGAGGGACTCAATCAAGATTTGGATTTGACAGCTTTTAATTTAAATATTATACTTTGATAATGTATATATGATATTTTCTATTTAAGAGTAACTATAACCTTTTGTGAGAGGGGGGACCTTTCCGGTGTAATATGCAAAAGAAAGGTGCTCCCAGTGCTGAATTGCCTTTGACATCACTGGGACCATGCGTGGTTCAATCACAGGACCATTTTGCTGGCTCAGAGTGCATGCGCATGCTCCAGGCTAGTGAGTGAAGGGAGTGTACAGCACTGAGCGCTCTGCCAGCAAGGGAAAGATTTTTACATCTGTTGCCTGCGTGCACAGAATTGACAGTGCCAGCCTGGAACAGAGTTCTGGGCTGCCAATATTACATGTGCTGGGAGTGCGACTAGCCCTCAGCACACAATTACAAATATCTCAGTACTGCACATACTGACTCCTACCACCATGACCACTTAATATCACTGAGTTAGTCACAGTGGTTGGAGTATCCCTATAAGTGCTTTTTGTATGATTTAAATCATTTAAAAAATTAAAATCATAAAAAATAGACACATTTTTAGATACGTTCCCCCTCACTTTAGTTATATTAAAAGAGGAGGATGCATCAAATTAATTAATACATTTAAAATTCCTAAATACTGTTGTGCAAAGCTAGAGGGAGAACTTTCAAAAGGGTTACATTTTAACAACAAAAGAAAACTACGGTATGTATTTGGTGTGATGTTTAACTACTAGGGATATAAATGCAGGAACACGTTTTTAGTTTAGGGAGCTATTTACTAAGGCTTTTTTTTCTCAATCATAGTTTTTATTGAGGTTTAGATTTAACATGAGTTTCAATGGTGCAGCAAACATGATAACTTTGAATGTATATGGGTGGTGATCGTTCAAGATCCCTTAGGAAATAAGCTCAGGTTTACACAACGTGCAGGATTGCATGATTGTTACAATTTATGTTAGTTGAGCCAAGCAGCATACCGTAATAGCGACACTCTGTGGATTTCAAAATAGCTACGCGCATGGCTATGGGAATACGGAAGCAGATTTTGGTGGGTGACCGAGGGCTATAAACCGAAATTTGATATCAAATACACCTGTATACCGCTTCCAGTGAAGGCACTATAAATTGTGAATACCTGACTTTCGAGGGTGACTTGTTTGTTTTTAATGTATTTGTTAATAAAAATTACTGTACCATGAGGGTTAATGCGCATTGTTCCAGAATTGCTGCTTAAAGGAGGTTTGCTGCAGTGTGGCAGGTGGGGGCATATTTACTTACTTATTAAAAATAGCAACTGGGCAGTCATTGGCTGTGAAATAACTGGGGAGTGAGTAGCCTGTAGGAGAACGGGGGCTTAGGGACATAGTCTACCCATGCCCCCACCCATGGGGAATTTAAATTACATAATATGGAGTGGAAAACTGTCCACTCTCCTGCTTACACCTGTGGATAGCGGGTGGGGGCTAATAAATTATAATCAACTACAGGGACATTAATGTCCTTCCTGCCCCGACCCTTGATCCATAGGTGAGGTATTCTTACTAAATGAGGCAGGGGGACTTTGTGTCCACCTCAGCACTCACCAATCGGGAAACTGTGCGGTTATTTAGAATATAACAGAGGAGAGCTAATGTCCAGGTGGGTGCAATTGTGTTTCATATACAATTGCACTATATATGTGCAATGTCAGAGACAGTAGGATTAACCACACAGAAGACCCAGCAAGTCAAGTGTATAATACAGTGTAGAAATGACAATAAAGTAGAACAAATAAATACATAGGCAGAGACAACCCTCACTCTCTTGTGAGGGTCAAACAGAGTGCCATTCCAGATGTTACAAATAATTGAGACTCACTGGACTGGAGTCATAGCAGGATCATGCAGTGACCAGATACAGAAATAAAATACATACCCTGATCCAGGGAGCATCCCAAAGCGGGCACATAAAGGCTGCACCTAAAGGAACCAGTGCCACTCAAGCTTCTCATTAAGACCATGAGGTGACACTGTATCCAGAAGGTGCATCCAGCGAATTTCTTTTTGTAATAGTATTTTTTCTCTATTTCCTCCTCTAGTAAGTTGGGGTACCCTTTCTAATATTTGGTAGCGTAATTGAGAAACATTGTGTCTGCTTTCTCTTAAATGTTGCGTGACTGGAGTATCAGAGGTAGGGCTGCAAATTGCAGTCCTGTGCTGAGACACACCTTGCACACACCTTGCACTCTGACCTTGCACATATATAGTGCAATTGTATATATGCCTTATTACTTGAAGATTTCAGTAGAACTTTAATTGGATGTTTACAAACATGTTCTATATCCCTTTAAATGTATATGTGTTTAAGTATCTGCTTACTTTATTAAGGAATGATAATGTTGCTTTAACTTGTCTGTTGCTCAAAGGTTTGGTCTCTTCCACCACTTTTAGCCGTTTGTATGCTATTATGATAGCTGTAAATGCTGTCCTGCTGTTATCTCTAGATGGTTTCATTATTATTTACCTGTTGCCTAACAACGTAACGTGATGACAGCACATACGAAGCACCTGACGTCTGTCGTCATCACGGACATCTCGGCCGATCCAGGAAGTGACTGGGATCGTCTAACAAGCCAGAGTGATAGAAAGTTAATGTACATCTGATCTAGCTTCTACATTTGATTACCTGGGGGTGGCACTTGTGGGTTATGTAAGCATTCTTTTTTGTATATATTATTGTTATCTTGCAAAATACTGTAGGACATTAGCATTGAGAAAGGGCTGCTGCCCAAAACGTTTGCTGGCTTAAGTTTGTCCTCAAATAAACTGCGGTAGCACCTGGGTGTGCACTCTTTATACTGGATGTGCAGGACTCTTGTCTGTTTATTGTTGGTTCATTGTACACTGGCATAGTGCAGTTCCCCGACTCATGACATTTGCCCCTACAAAGGTAAGCTTTACCCTCTAAAAATGCAAGTAATGCCAATAAATTATAATAGGATTTGGGTACACCAGAAATTGGCCTTTGGTCTTTTGCCCTTAACCTACTATATATTTTAGAGGTTTACTCTAAACTATTGCAATAAGGTATTTTGTGTAATTATTTGAGAGGAAATTTCCTCCTTTGTTTGCTATGTATTGAAACGTGTATAGCCAGTAGTTCTCTGCAGCAGGAAGTTACAATATTAAATTGAGCAAGTCTACATTGCCTCCTGTAAACAATACAAATTTTAAATAGTAACCTTAAAGCTTGGAAATTCATATTTGTACTTGGGTCCATCTTAGAACTGTTTCGAACAAAAAAGGGTTCCGTCCATCTGAAACCCAAGTGAAACTCAATAGATATCTCATTAACAGCTGTTTTGGGTAGGTCAGCTTGATTAGAAGATCCATCAGCCATTTCTTTAGCACAAAGCTCATTGAATTTAGTAAATTTACTACCACTTATAAAATCATCAACCTTTACGTACTTTCTCTCTCCATAGTAGGCTGCAAAGAGTACAAAACTCCTTCTGGAACAGAGACAGGAATTCCTGGAGGTCCAGGTGGCCCAGGAAGGCCAGGTGGCCCTGGATTCCCAGCTTCACCAGGACGTCCTCTTGGTCCTTGTGGTCCCATGGGTCCTTATATGAAATAAATTAGAGGGAAGATTTATTAAACATTTTTACACTTTAGCAGACAGGAAGTAGGTTTCACAGTTTATGAAATTTGGAAATCAGTAGCTAATTATACCTTGGTATAATAACTCTTTCACCATTTACTCAGGACACATTTTCAGTTAGTCTTCTTGTCATTTGTAACAGCTTATTTATTTTCAGTTGAATCCATTTCCACATTTTCTAAAGTTGAAATGCTTTTGTAGTCATCTCTAGACATGATGCCACTTCATTGAGTTGTGGTGTGAGCTTTATAGTGCAACATAGAGAGTACTATTGCCAGCAGGGCTGGGATTGGTATTATGGCTGAGGCCTTGACAAAACTTGACAGCAGTAGCTTCACTTTTTGTCAAGAGTAGTAGTCCCTACTTTGTGTTATGATATATTTTGACTGCGTTGGAATTTCTGAGTATTTCATAAATCTTTTTTTTTTGGGTGGGAGGGGGAATGTGAGGGGGGCAGACAGAGCCTATTTAAGTGTTTACATTACAAAAAAAAGAAACACAAAAAAAAATCTTCAAAATCCTTTAAAATGAATATGGAATATTGTAAGCAATAAACTAATTTATCAATGCTCTGGTTACTTGTACATATACTAGAAGGACAAATACAAGGACATACTAAATTAAAATATGCATACATATATATAAAAAATATCAGTCTTGTCATCATCTCCTTTTGTTTTTGTTTTTTTACACAAACCTCAAAATAAGCAATAAAAAAATATTACCTGGTGGACCTGCAGGACCCATTTCGCCAGCTTGCCCCCGCTCTCCTTTGGATCCAGGCAATCCCACTGGTCCAACTGACCCAGGTGGCCCAGGAATCCCTGGTAAACCTGCAATAATTGCATGTTAGTTATGAATAATTCTGATAATTCTGATATATAATTTTTCCTGTCCCATTTCAGGCTGTTATTTATCATTCCTGTAACTTGCTAGATTCTCATACTAGAATTTGTAAACTCAAACTATAATTTAGGTGGAGTTTCAGTTTTAACCTACTAGACAATATAATACAGTGGAACCAGAAGGCATGACAGTACTATTATAATGCAGTGTTTCTGCATCCAAAATGACTAGAGGTGTCACACTATTATTTCATTTTATAATTTACCAAAACATAAATTGTCCATTATATGAAGGTAATTCATTTATGATTAAAACAAAATTAAATGTTATTTTGAAAGGTCTAACCTATCCATCTTAAATTCAATATTTTCATATACCAAACAACATTTTTTGTTAAAACTTTACCTCGTGTTCTTGTTTCTTCAAAATCCCCTTTGGATCCTATTTATAACAATAAAATATGCATGTATGAATATGTTCAGAAACAATGTCTTTCCTTCAAAGACATTATTTATTTAAAAGGTTATTAAAAGAATATTTAAATAATTTACATTTTAAAATAGAAATATTACCAATTATAATAAAGCTGTTAATGTCAAAATTAAAAAAAAAATTATAATAATTTGTTCTTGTAGTGGGAACGGGGTTGACTTGGCTTGAGATCTGGACCTGTCCCACCACATCATTAGTCTCTACTCCTCTGGTTCCAGAAACCATAGCAGCCATTTGTTTTTTTGTGGGTAAGGTGTTAAGCTCTTCCAGCTGAAGAGGCAGGTATCATCCCCGCAACTTCATTATAAAATCACTTTTGGTCAGTTTAGAAAAGTAACAGCTCTATGACTACTCTCAGATCTTCAAACTTTGTAGCCAGTCCCGATTGACTGAGAGCCTTCAGCAAACAGGCTCTGTCACTGGAATCCTTGAAAGGACTAGGCTTAATTCAGTGTTCCACATGAAATTCTTCCAAGCACTCTATATTAAACTGGGAGTAGTCTTTCACAACTCTACATTCAAATCATGGAAGGAAATGTAAAACAACACATAGAACATAACAGTACAGTATGTAGAAATATATAGGCAAGAGCACAAGAAAAAGTATAACTCTGTCACAAGGAGGTGGAGTGAGGGGAAAATTCAATAACTATATATTCAGAAACTCAGATCATTTGTTTGACTCTCAATAAAAATAAAACTCTAAAAAAAAACTAACACGGCATTCTGACTGCATTGCAATAAACCGTATTTTTCCCTGTATAATTTTATTAGACCAAAATTAAGAAATCAATATTTTATATATCAAATAGAGCGACTTTGATATTTTAGAGGTGACTTCTGAGGAGAACAACACACTTCTGATTCTCATGCCTCCTCTGTGCTAGGGTACTCTGTGAAGGTAATGGCTCTATAGTGCATGCTGGGAGACTACAGCTCCCACAATACAGCAGGTGGTGTGAGAGCATGCTGGGACATCACAGTAGTATTCCCCCAGCTCCATGATCTTCATTTCCTCCCCCATAAATATAAATCAGAAAGCAATACCTACCTGAGGTGGAGCAAACCTTAATATGGCTGCTCCTTTTATGGTGTGGCATGTCTCTGGAGCTATGTTGGTTGTAAGTGCTGATGTCTGCTGCAGCTCCCATACATATAGGGACCTTTTCCTCTTTGCCACAGCATTCAGAAGTGGATCGGCGGGAGGCCAGGTATGTGTGTGGGTCGTGGCAAACTAAAACGCGGCAGGAGCCATCTTAACTTAGGCCCCATGCACAGGTGGGGTTTTTTTAACCCCTGCAGTGACATTCAGTGTATAAGACGACCCCCAATTTTTGACTTAATTTTTTTAGAAAAAGGCATAGTCTTATACATGAAAAAATACAGTAATTGAAAATACAAATTATTTAGCGTAAATATTATGGTAATGCATACAACTGCAACAAGGTAGCCTTCCACCAACAGATGGTGCTGTGCCAACTAAAGTCCGTTTAGCAGTCAGCTTACAGCTTTTTTGCTGCCTTGTTCTGGGCTGGTCGATTGAATCTCTCTGAGTCCACTAGAGGGCCCACAATTCCAAGCACATCTACAAGACATCTAGTATTTTCACAGCATGTGTGAGAAGGAGTGAGATTTCTGCATTAGGTAGCATAAAAGTAAAGGTATAAGATTACAAACAGTAATACTTTGTTGATGACATACTGAATATCAGTAGACCATAGCCAGTCCCTGATGCTTAATTAATAATCCATTAAGACTATACCTAAAGTAACCTAAAATAAATAAATGCTAAGCCATAATGAACTGTGCATAGTAAAAAAATATGGTTCAACAATTTTTTTTTACTAGATGCAGCAGAAGTCACTCACACATGAATACTTGCCATCAACAAAGGACAATACTTGCAGCTGTGTTGCAAAAATGAAGAGAGGAGCTGCACTCAATCGCCAGCAGACCACCCGGTGCACTCGAGCAGGACCAGCAATCCGGCAATCCCAAAACACATCAGGCAAACACAAAAAAAATATCCAGGCACTCAAGGTGTTCAAGCCACAGGCATGTTTAATGGAACTAAAAAGAGCAGCAATGTTTCTACCTGCTAAGAGGTCTTTGTCAAGCTGTGTCACAGTTACAAAACTACACTATATGTAGGTATAATGAATAAAGCAGGAATCTTAAACTCCAGACCCCCCCCCCCTCCCAAATGTTGCTAAACTACAATTCCCATGATTCTCTAGCCATCTGTTGCATTCAAATAATTCTGGTAGACGTAGGCCATCAGTCTTTGGAAGGCCAAAGCTGGAGAATCGTGCACTAAAATAACAGGGTCATTGAAAGATAGCAACCAATCAATTTTGATGAAGATCTTTGAGGAAGAATTTTTTTTCCCTCTCGCCATTACTGAGAACAATAGGAGCAAATGCGTAGATTATAATTAGTGATTTAAGGTAAGCAAGATGCAGAGCTGCCTGTTTTCCAGTGGTAAGAAAGTCTCCACCAGCCTCCTGTAAGCTGCATCAGAAAGTAAGATGGATTATTTCTGGGTGAAGCTGTCCTGGTAGCTTGGACAATGTCGTTCCGCAATGGTTTCAGATATACATTGTAGTTCATAATAAGTAATATGTCTAAAGAATACATGACAAGCAAAACATAAATGTGTAAAACAATCTACACGTATTCTTGGTAATATCAGCTGTTTAAGATGGTTAATTATAGAAGCTTAACATTCAAAAACTTACATGGACACTTACACTGATTTCAAGTCCATGAAGAACTTTATGGGTCTTTCTTTTCCAAAGAAATCACATTTATGTCCATCTGTTAGGAACTTGGAATGACAGAATGTCTTGTGACCTACCAAATTATATTTGTGCCTCACCTGGTGGAAGTTTAACAGATTTCCTGAAAATGCCTCCTGGGCTCAGGAGTGGAATGGCATCTGGAAAGTAACCCTCATTCCAAGGTGATGTAGCTCTTGTGATTGGGAGGTCGTTTTCAGATACTTTTTCAGCAGCTTCCAAGGTGACAATCTGGATGTCAAACATAAATAAATATAACATACTGTTAACTTAGAATATCTCAGCATGAATTCAAAATGACAGCAAATTAATAGTTGATGTATAGTACCAATGAACAGATTTTTATGTATTTATCTTGTTTTATGTGTATTTGTATTATTAATTAATCCCCTTAAGGATGGTGGGCGTACAATTCCATCCTTATGGGGGTGGCCCTAAACGCCGCAGGGTGGCATAGAACTGCCAATGTTCTCGCAATTGCATGGTGGGCATAGCCAGCTTGTGCAGTGCCTCCAGGGGGAGTGCCTGGACTCCCAGGCTGTCCCCCTTAACGACTGCACAAAAGTTTTAAAAGTTTAATAAAAGTTTATAAATTAAGTAAAAGTAGATTAGATTATATATATATCTATATCTATATAGATATAGATATATATATATAGTTGTGGTCAGGGCATAAAGCCGTAGCATTAGTAACATAAGACAAACAGGGGATGGAAAGATCAGTTGTGGTGTGCCGGAACTGACGAAGTAGTAGGCCTGAAATAAAAGAGGGCCTACCTTATGAAATGCTTATAAAAGGAGGTGTGGTGGGTGGGACAACTCACCAGACCTAAGACGGTAGTGAGGGAAGGGCTGGTGCTCCTTAAGAAGGGGAACCAAGCCCCTCCCACAACTTCAGGCCCCGCCTTCCATTTGTGGTCAGGGCATAAAGCCGTAGCATTAGTAACATAAGACAAACAGGGGATGGAAAGGTCAGTTGTGGTGTGCCGGAACTGACGAGGTAGTAGTCCTGAAATAAAAGAGTGCAAAAAGATATAACCAGTTTATTCAACCTACAATACACCATAGTATATCACATAATCATATTCTTAAATGCTAGGCACACCTCTTGTACTCAAAATAGAGAGTCAGCGCTAAGTGATAAGTAAGGCCGCAAAGGGAATCCCTCAAAATCCCCTTAAAAAACAACAAACAAGATGCCCACTGGTATAAGCGTTGGTGGTTTGATCCCCACCTAGGATTTCTTGGAGTCCGCAACGATAGAAAATGCCAGGTAAAAATCAAAATAAATATTATAGAGTGTATAAAAGATGATTGGCACAAATAAAAGTGACCAACAGAGCTTTAATGAGTAAAATACATAATATAAAATCCACAAACGCGTTTCGCCTAAAAGGCTTTCTCAACATGCAATTAAATTCCCTTCTTGTTTGCTCTACCCTTGTAAATACCCTTTTATATATATTTTATCACCATTGTTTTATTCAGAGAGCACTATTGTCTCTATTTTATTCTCTTTGAGTACTGAACATACCCTTGAAGCAAGACACCTGCACCATATCCCATAAGCGGGGATTGTACCACTGTACGCTGTCCATACTAGAGCTAGCTATAGCTCTTACTCATGTAAGTGCATAACCGTCTTCCTTTTATCTTTTATTTTACCTCAATGGATATATTGCCCTATTTTGTTCTATCTTTTGTCTTTATATATTATTGGATCTCCCCGGGGAAGATCTACGTCAGGGGTGTCAAACATGCGGCCCCCCAGATGTTGCTGAACTACAACTCCCATGATTCTTTCAATGAAACAGATAGCCAGGGAATCATGGGAGTTGTAGTTCAGCAACATCTGGGGGGCCGCATGTTTGACACCCCTGATCTACGTGGACATTATCCCTGACCAAGCACGTTACAGACCATTTGATCTAAAGCAAGAATTGTCAAGTTAAGACCTGTTTGGGACATATTATTGTTATCCTAGTATATTTATTTTGTGTGGCGCAGCCTCTTTTCTGTATTTTCGCACCTCTTGTACTGGCTGAGGAATGTATCTGGTGTAAACCGTGGACTTCCACCGGCCCAATATTTTAATGATGTGCACAGGGATATTCCTTTTAGAAGCGGTAGTAGCTGCTCCTATTCTAAATGAGTGACCTGAATATTCGGCTGGGTTCAAGCCTAACCAAACCAACAACATTCTTACATAGAGCATGAACGTACTCGTAGTGAGCATATTACCGTGTAAGGCTAGCAGTGGTTGTATTGGAGCCATTGCAAAGAAGGAGAGGTATTGGTCGAAAACTTCCACAGGGCACCATTTATTACTAGTGGGGTAATACCGGTAGGTAATAGTGACTGTGGCGAAACCAACCTCGCCACTGTGAACTGGAGAAGCCTGGTTGCTCGCCTGCTCCCTTTGGACTATGGCCCTGCAGGTTAAACTGTTTATTTCCCCTGCAGAAAGGCTTATTTGTGTGATCTGAGTGCCATTCATCTAATAATGTGCACTCAGATCCCAGCTATCTGGGGATATGTGAAATGTCTGTGTGTTATGTGTAAATGTGACTTTATGTATTCTAAAGTGTTTTGTGTCTTTTTGCAACCATGTGCTTAATGGAGTCTTGTGTCTATCCTGGGAGATAATTGAATTACTCTCCAGGATAGAAGACTCTGAAACTGGTTTGGGCCAGAAAGCCATGCTTCATTTAGTCACAAAGGACTTTCCCTAACTTTTGAACCCCTTGTCTGATTTGTGCCATTTTTGAATATGTTGTTCCCCTGAATGGATTGATTGTGAATATGTAATTTTATGTGAATGTGATGTATGGTTTTGGAGTTATGAAAGTTGGGTAGAAAGTATGTTTTAACTGTATGTATAATTGAGTTTCCTCTCAGGATAAGGGGAGGGAATATGTGGGATGTAACTGTGATGTGATTGGTTGTTTTGTAACGCCCTGTGGGCTGTACTATGTTTGTGGATTGGGAATAAAAGAGACTGTATGTGACAGTACAGGGAGTTCCTGTTTTAACCCTCAAAGTGAAGTGTCGTCTCATTATTGGGGGAAGGATTTATTGTATGCTGTTCCAGTTTGACTGCTAGGAGAGTAAACCTATTCGTATGGTTCCTATTCAACTGTCTACAGCATTCATGCTTGAGAGGATTCATATGCTTCTCCGGTTCGGTGGTTGTGGTGTCTGCTGCAGTGCTTGGAGTCCTCAGGAAGCGCTAGGAGCATCCTTCAACGGAGGTACCCAGTCGGGGTGCCAGGCGATCCGTTACACTAGGATGGGTCCTAGTGCGAGGTAAAGCAGCTCAGAGACACCGTTCGTGGAGTTACAAATTGAGGGCAACGCTAGCACACGTGCAGCGACCCTGGGAGCAGAGGTATCCAGCGACTTGGAGCAGACAAGTATGGAAGGCTCTGGCGATGATTGGATGGCCGAGGTGAGGCAGCGAGTGGCCCAGTATGGGGATGATTTACCCATGGAGGTACGCCGGGTGATCTGGAACCAGGTCACGGCCGAGCGAAACACAAGGCTGGCCCGAGAATTCCGGCTGGCGAAAGAGAGAGAGTATGCTCAGCGGAAGGAGTGTTACAGCAGCCGAGTAGAGGCTGCATCCGAGGAGGCTAGCCGTCTCCCCCTGAGGCGGCCGCAGGAACCCGAAGTAGGGGTCCTCATAGACTGGTCCTGTGAGGAACCACAACAGGCAGGTGGAGATGGGACCGGCCCAGATCCCCAGCAGCAGCCGGAGTTGCCAGGTGCGGAAGCAGGTGGTCCTTACTCGCAAATGTTGAGGGACCTCACAGACTGGTCCTGGGAAGACCCACAGATGGCAGGTGGAGATGGGACGGCGGTCTCTCTACCGGCCCTACAGGGATGCTGGGCGGTCGGCCCAGATCTCCAGCGGCAGTATGTACCCCAGGGAGCTGAAGGTGCAGTCCTTCCTCCCCAGCGGCAGTGTGCACCCCAGGGAGCTGAAGGTGCAGTCCTTCCTCCCCAGCGGCAGTGTGTACCCCAGGGAGCTGAAGGTGCAGTCCTTCCTTCCAGGGGCAGTGTGCACCCCAGGGAGCTGAAGGTGCAGTCCTTCCTCCCCAGCGGCAGTGTGTACCCCAGGGAGCTGAAGGTGCAGTCCTTCCTCCCCAGCGGCAGTGTGTACCCCAGGGAGCTGAAGGTGCCGTCCTTCCTCCCCAGCGGCAGAGTGTCCTGCAGGGAGCAGAGACCGTCAGTCTCGCACCCCAACCACAGGACAAAATAATGAAAGGGGAGACAGCTGGTCCCCCTCTCCACCAGCAGAGAGAGTGTCAGGGAGAGGAGCCTGATACCCCCTCTCCCCAGCGGCAGTTTACAGTTCAGAGAGAGGAGCTTGTTACACCCTCTCTCCAGCGGCAGCCTAACCCAGCAAGGGGAGATGTTACACCCCCCAACAGTGCAGATGGGACTGTAGTCTCTGCACTTACAGCACAAGGGGTAGGGACAGTCGGTCCTGTTCCCCAGCCACAGAGCGGTGTATCCAGAGGGGAGACAGTCGGTCTCTCCCTCCCACAACCAGGCTCCCACCAGGCTACTTCCGTGGTAGCACTGGCATCAGGGCAGAGTACCGCTGGTCTCTGCCCACTCAGCAACCCACCAAGGCAGCCTAACAGTTGCCCACACAGTCGTGGTGAGGCACCTGGACATGGACAAAGTTTTCCTCTACCCAGGTGTAGTAACCAGTTATTGTGGGTGGGCTGTACTGCTGTTTCTGTTTTGTGGGTGGGTTGCTGGACTAACCAGGGCACTGACCGGCAGGAGGTCAGATACCCTGTTAGTCTAGTTGGTAAAGGGGAGAAGTGTGGCGAAACCAACCTCGCCACTGTGAACTGGAGAAGCCTGGTTGCTCGCCTGCTCCCTTTGGACTATGGCCCTGCAGGTTAAACTGTTTATTTCCCCTGTAGAAAGGCTTATTTGTGTGATCTGAGTGCCATTCATCTAATAATGTGCACTCAGATCCCAGCTATCTGGGGATATGTGAAATGTCTGTGTGTTATGTGTAAATGTGACTTTATGTATTTTAAAGTGTTTTGTGTCTTTTGCAACCATGTGCTTAATGGAGTCTTGTGTCTGTCCTGGGAGATAATTGAATTACTTATCTCCAGGATAGAAGACTCTGAAACTGGTTTGGGCCAGAAAGCCATGCTTCATTTAGTCACAAAGGACTTTTTACTAACTTTTGAACCCCTTTGTCTGATTTGTGCCATTTT